AAAAAGCACTTGGAATCTGTGAAAAAACTCTTCCTGCAAATCATCCTTCATTGGCTACTTCATACAACAATATTGGTTTGACCTACAGTAACATGAGAGAGTACCCAAAAGCACTTTTATTTTACGAAAAAGCACTTGGAATTCGAGAAAAAACTCTTTCTTCAAATCATCCTGATTTGGCTACTTCCTACAACAACATTGGTTTGGTGTATACAAATATGGGCGAGTACTCAAAAGCACTTTCATTTCACGAAAAAGCACTTGGAATTCAAGAAAAAACTCTTCTTGCAAATCATCCTTCGTTGGCTATTTCCTGTAACAACATTGGTGATGTATATGCGAACATGGGAGAATACTCGAAAGCACTTTCGCTTTCCAAAAAAGCACTTGGAATTCTAGAAAAGTCCCTTCCTGCAAATCATCCTCACTTGGCTGGTTCCTGCAAAAACATTGGTTTACTATATAAGAAGATGGAAGAATATTCAAAAGCACTCCCATATTTTGAACGTGCTTTGAACATTCTCAAAGTTTTATTACCTCTAAATCATCCTGATCTTAAAGATGTGAAAGAGGATATTGAAATTGTAAAAAAGAAATTATAATTTTTTTCCAAATAAATAAATGTTTTCTTTATACAGGAGATAAATAACTGTATTTTTTTACTTATTCTCGCGCGCGTACAGAAATATCTCTGTAGCAATAAAAATTCAATGGGCATAGTGTAACGGTATTGACCGTTATGCTTCATCTAATCTATATCATGACCGTCTCTACCTATCACTGACCTTCTCTCTTTGTGTAACCACCCCTATATAAGTTGTGTTCAATAAAGAAAAGGCACGATTGTGATTGTGCAGATGACACAAGACACCATCATGTCGAAAGGCATAGGCAGCCACTCTCACAATTCGTCATACATAGTCGACCGGTGAGACAATACACATACATAATATGTACATGTATAAAAGGTCTTAACAGACATATATAAGTTTCTAACATTAAATACGAGAATATTGTCTATATATAAGTTAAAAAAATAAGTATCACACCAGAAGTCGTCGATTATCATTGTAATAAACGTGTTGAAAATGAATCTAAAAAAGAAAACAAACTGGAAAAAAATAAGAAAAGAATAACTTACCTTGTTTGACGTATATTGGTTATTGTATTGTAGTGAGGGTGTAAGTGTCAGCTGTTATAATACTACATACTCACACCCATACCCATACCCTCACCCACACCCTCAAGATTTGGTTAAAACAAATGGTTAACCGATTCTCTAAACGCATTGATGATATGTTTTCAGCAAAACTCTTGCATCATTCTCTCTCAAGTTAGTTTATTTCAAATACGCAGTTGTGTAAACAAGAGAGAAAACGCTTTTTTTCTTTCTTAACTAATGATTTGAGTATGAACAGTCACCAAGACCGGTGACGTAGAATATCTTTTTATTTAATTCAAGTGAATTCAATATAAGTGAAATGAAATAAAAATTAACTACAAAGAAGAATTGTACCCCATTACAAAAAGTTGTTATAAAACTAAATCTTATAATAATGGTGAGTGTAGGTTTAACTAAAGAAAAGACATCCACACCTAACTACACCATCATTCTTCCTTCGACACTAATATGAAATTTATATTATTATTTTTTTGTTGATATTTATTCTCTCCCATAAGATAAACATATGAAAAAAATGACTATCAAACACATCGATTAGGAATATGAAAATAAGTTTGTGGTAAAGGTGTACAATGTTGAGAATCAAAATTAACTAAGTATTGATCGATTAAATAAATTGCAAAACGTTGTCGTTCGAGTAATGAAAAATTTTCACCAAATTTGCAAGGATATGATGGAGTTGGATTTTCCATACGATATTCTCTTGTTTGTGTTTGTAATTCAGTTTGATTTAAACAATATTGATCAAATAAAGCAATTCTTTGCGTATGACTTGAACAAATATATCGTCTTAAAAGTGTTAATGTTTGATCGTCATTATAAATAAATGGATAACGATAATGAAGAACATGAAATAAAAGTTCATTACCACGATTTGTTTCTACTCGACCAGGTATAAGACTTATAATTTCATCTTGTGTACGACGTATTAAATAGAATGGTCCATTATATAATTTAAGTAATTGAATATTATTTAAATCAAGATAATAACGTATAGTTTTTTCAACAAATTTCGATGCAAATGATGGCATTTGTCTTTGTGCTAATGGTAGAACATCATCAAATACAGCATCTAAGACAAGACCACGAATATCTTGATAATTAACAGCTGTCCAACATGCTGAATAACCACCTATAGACCATGCAAATACAACAATATCATCAATAAGAAAATGAAGTTCATCAATTGCATAACGCATTACTGCATCAATAGAATTAATTTCTGAAAGTGTTCCAGGATAACCCTAAAAAATAGAATATTTATACATTCGACATTGTTTTTTATAGTTAAATTATATTTTACCGAACTTTCTCCAAATCCTGGTCGATTCCATCCAAGTACAGAGTATCCAGCTTCAACTGGCGTTGACATACAACCCATTTCATAAAATCCAGCATTTCCTTCACAAGTAATAACTAATGTTTTACCATTATATGTATTATTTGATTGTCGTCGATCAATAAATATTGTATCAATATTATTTCCATCAGCTGTATGTAAAAAATATCGTTTAGCACGATGTTGTACAATTAAATTTGTACGTCCATCGAGTAGAGGACGTTCCATCATTTGTCGAAGTAATTGTAAACTACCAGGAAACATTAAACGTCGACCGAATACATTAACACAAATATAACCAAGAAAAAGTGATGGATAATGAAAAAGACGATCAAGTAATGTTGGTTCTGTACGATTAATTAAATCATCTTTTGTTGTTGATATCATAGGTAATCGACGAATAGCTGATGTTTCTATGACATAATCAGGTTTCCAATGTGACAGAGAAAAATCAAATTTTGCTAAAAGATTCTACACAAACAAAATTAAAGAAAATTTTCATTTATTTTAAAATTACTTGTCGAGTTTCTGGTGTTGAATTGTGTTTCACTTTAAAAAATTCATCAATAAAAACTTTATAATTTGGATTAACATAACGACCGACACCTAATTAAATACATATATTTATTTTCCTATTTAAAGAATACAATTTCAAACATACCACGTAATAACATAAAATATGCTGATATTATAACAATACAACCAGTAAGTCGTAATGTTACTAAGCCATTATCATAGGTTAATAAACCTCTGCGATAGAAATAAATTAAACATAATGGCCATGTTACTTTAAGTAATCCAATTGATAGTTTAAGCTAATTAAATACAGTTTTTTTATATGAATAAGAAAAAAATATTGAAATCTTACAGCAAAAAAAACACTATCACTAAGACTTTCTGCAGTATTTTTTTCATAAATATGAGCTGGCTATAAAGAAATAAATAAGAATTTTGTCTGTTATATAATATTGTAATTTACTTGTTGATCGTTTCGAACGGGTGGTGGAGGTAAAGCTGGATAAGTTTGATAAAGTTTTGGACCAAATATACATCGCCAAAAAAGGATCAATTGATTTTTCATTAGTAACCAGATAAATAATCAAGAGGAAAAAACAAAATAAAGTAGGTAAGTTTACATTAGATGAATTCTGTTTTAATGTTATCATACACACTTACGTGAGGCAAACAATCAGGAAAAAGCATCAGAGATGGCGCTATAAAACATTTATTTCATCTGTGCGAGTTATAGTTTTTGCTTTTGTATGATTTATTGTCTATAAAAAATAATGAATATATTTCCCATTGGAATATTGTGAAACTTTATACAACAATTTTTTTATAATATCTTTTATTTTAAATACACTCAAGAAAGCACAAAAAAATATGAAATTAAATTTTTCTATTAAGCGGTAAACCAAGGTGTGATGCAGCAAGACTCATACGTCTAATTGTATCAAGTTTTTCTTCGAATTCTTGTTCTTGTTCATCTTTTTCTAAACATATTGATGCAATACGATATGTTTGAAAAAGCAGAATAAGAAAATTTTTAAATGCAAAAAAATATGTTAAAAATGATCGTACACGATAGACAATAATTGCAACAAGACGAATAGCAAAAAATGGACCATCTTGTAATGATAATGTAACAAGTATTGACCAAATTTCTGATCGAAGAAATTTTGAAGATCGTTTTCGAACAAAGAATTTTACACTTTCTGCTACAGATTTACGTGATGCGTGCTTTGAACGTGGTGCATACCAAAATGATGAATGTAATGAATTTGAAGAGCTTACTGATTGACGTTGAAGCATGTTTGGACGGAGAATATTTGATGGTAGATCAACTTCAGGAAATGTGGGTTTAAGAACTTTAATTTAAAAAAAAAGATTTAAGTGTTGTATGAAAAATAGATATACTTACATGAACAATTTCTATTTGTTTGCATTTCTAAATCTCCATTTGTAGCAGGATTTTCAAAGATTGTATCTGGCGGATTTATAATACAAACTGATGATGCACGTAATTTAGGACGTAGAATAGGACTGACTGTTGTTGCTGTTAATGGTCGAGCTGTTGATGATGATATTTCACTTGGTACAAATTTATTTAAGATCTTTCGATGTGATGGTAATGATCCGGGAGGTGAATGAAATGATGCTGGTTGATGTATTTCAATTTCTGTATCATCAAATTCCGCATGAAATGAACGACCACGTGTCGCTGTTAGATTAAGTGCAAATTGAAACATACATAGAGAAAAAACAATAAGAACAATATGAACCATTGGTGAACTAAGATAAATTTCTTTTTCACTAAATAATGTTAATAAATCAAGAATATCCGATGCAAGTGATAAATAAACAAGTAATAATTGTGATAAAGCACTATGAGAAATATTTCCTTTTGGTAATAACCATCGACCAAGAATAATGATGAACATAAATGAAAGTTCAACCATCATTGCATCTTCAATACCCCATTCTTTTATCTAAATAAGAGGGAAAGTATTTTTAAAACAAAAGAGAAAACAGATGAGGTTTTGTGTAAATATTGTTAGATAGTTCATGCGATATCATGCTAACATAAATTGAGTATTAGATGAATCAGTAAGAAGTAGTGGTGGTGATTGATCTGTAGTTAAGCGTTTATCATGATGATTACGTTCATTTTGATCCATATGTTCAATACAAATAGACCATAAACGATAGAATTGTAAGAATAAAATAATAAGATTTTTACAAGTAAAAAATATTGTTGTATATGATTGTACTTTAAAATGAATAACAGCAATAAAACGAATAACAAGAAATGGTAAATCTTGCATTAATATTGTTATAAATATTGATGGTAATTCACTGCTTGCTAATTTTTGATATGTTGATTTAATACGTTGAGGTTGTTGTCGAGAATTGGAAATATTTAATTGATTATTTGAATTTTGTTTATCAGGTTCAAAACGAAATGTTCGACCACGTGATGCAACAAGATTAAGGCTAAATTGTAATGTTGACCATGAAAAAACAGCTAAAGTTGAATAGATCATTTCTTGATCTTGTAGAACTTTATCTTCTTGAAATATTGATAATAGATCAATCATATCTGATGCTAATGATAAATAAACAAGTAGCAATTGAGAAAGTGCCGAACGACTTATTTTTCCTTTTGGTAATAACCAACGACCAATTATAATTATCATTAAAAATGTTACTTCAGTAGCCACAACCCAATCATCATGAGATAATTCAGGTATTAACTAAAACATGCTAAGATGCAAATATTGTTTATAATCATGCACATGCCATAGATTATTTCTACGATAGACTAAACTCAAAATCATTTTTGATAGTTTCCAAAACAAAGAACCTTGAATTTTAATATTTGTATATTTATACAGAAATTATCATAACAAAAAGGTTAATTATATTCCAATATGATAGACTAAAAATATCTATGTCGTAGTTCTACATCAATGTACCAAACAAGATATAAACATCATTATTTCTTAGTTTTATAAAAGAGAAATTAATTAGTTTTCGAAGAAATGTAAGACGATTGCTATTTTCTTTATAACAAAACCAGAAATATCATCGTTTATTTCGGATGTTATTTATAATTAAAAATGAACGTAGGAGTATTTTAACATGAACCCTTGACTTCTGTTTTAAAAAGAACATAAATCGATGTACTGCAATACCCTAACAGAAAAGAAGAAGAAGAATAAAAAGAAAAAAACTAACGCTATTACATACATAAACACACATACGCGCGTTACACGCATGTGTCCTTGACAAGTATGGAAGACAAAGATGACGATCAAGCTCTACCAACTAACACAACTGAAGAATCATCACATGATAAAGAAGATAATGATAATGAAGATGATGATGATGATGATTCATTTATTTATTTTAAATCATCTTCAATTATATCAATTTTAATTATTGTGGTCATTTCACTTGTTTGTATATTAGCAACAGGTTTACTTATTAGACGTGTACTTCATTCACATAATATAACGCGTACATTATCCGTTTATCTTGGTTTTACACCAAATCGTACAATTGATGAATCAAAATTAACTTTTTGGGCACCAAAAAGTATTTATGATGAACAACCAATCGAAATACTTACTGCCATGATTAATTCTTCTACATCTCATCGTCCTCCTCCTCCATCAATTATCTTAACTAGTACTGAAAAAAAAGCTCAGACTATTTTTCGTACTATAATTCTTCCAATACTTTTTCTTTTATCAATACTCTGTGGAATCTTAGCATTTTACATGCGTCTTCATCATTATCATTATCCAGCATGGGGTGCTCGACCAAAAAGACCCGAACAATATGTAACTATAGAACTAAAACAAGCTCAAACAGCAGGAACGAATGATCATATTTAACATATGTAATTTTCTTTTGTTATTGTTATATATTATTAAATAAAATGGATATGTGTATATATAGATATGTATAATCATGCATCATGCGATGATTATTATTCCATAATTATCATCTCACCTTTTGTATAACTAAATCCTATAGAATTTATTTTGATTTAAATTTAAGATGAAAAGAAAAAAAAAGAAGGATTTTTATTTTCGTCTCCGAGAAAGAAAAATATGAAATAAAACAAAACAAACCGTTTTATCATTGATATTCGCTTTTGATATAAGGCCTTGCTCAATCATCAATTTTAATTCTTCTCCTTCAGTTTGATTTAGCACTGGTTCACGACCAAGTTTAATATTTATACGATTTATTTCAAGAAACCATATGGGTGGTATCATTGTACATATATATAGAAAAAAACATGGAGAAAACCTAAATATAATTTTCTTTGATTTATTTTTATCTAAACAATTATTTACCATTTAGGTTCTTTGCCTAAAAATAAAAATAATTTAATATATATTTTTAATTTAAAAAAATTAAACAAACCTTTTCGTTGAATAATCGTTACAATCAGTTCAATAAGAAGAAAATTAACTCCACACATATTTAATAAATACCAATAATCTCCTTTTGTTATGACAATACGAATAATTGCAATGGTTGCATGAAGTGCAAAAATAATTCGAATTATAATCGCTTTTAATATATCAAATGAATGACATATCCAACGACTACAATCACGTAAAGTTTCTTCTGTTCTTGTCATACCGTTATACATTGAAAAAACTATTCTGAAGAAAAATAAATCAATAAATGAGTAAAACTATTGTTTTGTTATTGTATTAGAGAGAGAGAATATAGAAAAAGAGGTAATTGTCGCTGCCAGGTTCATAGCATTTCTAGTTTTACGGATAAAAACACATATGAATGGCTCCAATGAGAGATTAATCATAATGCTCTAGGGTTCTGGTGATCTCTTTTGTCCGTCAATACGATAAAAAAAAGAGATGGAAAGAGACTAATTACTCGGAATGTCAACCAATATATTAAAAGCGACGTCAGAAAATACTTTTAACCAAATACTATAATCTGCAAGGCACAACAAGGATCAATTATTATTTTATCGTCAATGGGTGGGTTCCATAACTTGTCAAGGCTAAAAAAGCAACATTATGTGCTATATTAACTCAAATAAAAACAGTTCATCTATAGAATTACTTATACAAGCGATGATGGACTGCTTTCAAGGGTATATAATATAAACGATTGTGTAGTACTTGAAAAAAAATCATTGGATTATTGTTTCTAAATTGTGGAAATATACAACAATTGTTTCTTTTGTCTCTATTACAAGTATATATATATATGATATTCGACGCAAAAGCACTAGACAGTTATGTACGTGATTGACAATCAATTAAGATAACAAATTGACATTATCCTTTATATGTATATATATATATATACGAAATTACACAAAACAAAGGCAAACAAGATAAAAAAAGATTTTGTTTTTAAATAACTACTAATAAAATAATGTTTAGATTTAAAGATGATGCTGTTGATAATCATATAAAAGTGATGCTTGTGAATTTTGTTGTTGTTGTTGTTGAACAATACGTTTATTTGTTTGTGTATAATTTGGTGTTGATATTGATGTACGACAGTTTAAATGACGAGGTAAAGGTACTGTAGGTGTTAGTGGTATACGTGGATTATGTGCACGATGATAATCTTCTGAAGGTTGACGTTGATGTTTTACACTTCCAATACTATGTCGAGTTTCTAATATTGAACAACGTCTTCTATCTGCTCCATTAGTTGTTAATGTTATTTTTTTTAATTGATGATGACAACCAGATTTTTCTCTAAATATAAATCCAAATCATATTATAAAATTTATTCTATTAGAAATAATACTAAAGTTATCAAATGTTTCACTATTCAAATCTTTTATTTGTGTAATTGAATAGAGAAATGCTGTAACGACATACATATCGCTCACACTTAATTGACAAATTCAGTTCATCATGCAAAATATAATCTTGTCATTCATTCATTCATTCATTCATTCATTTATTTAATTCTATTCATGACAGGGAGAAAAAAAGAAGAATAACATGCATAAAAAGCAATCGTAATTAAATAAAGAAATAAATATTTTACTAGGAAAGAGAAATATTTGGTGTTTTTTTCGTACTGAAAAATAATTGTAATAAATATATTAGGAAATTATTTTTTTTTGTTTCAAATAAATTAAAAATATGAAAAAAATCAATAGATTACCTGAGTCGAAGACAAAAATTAGTTGCAAAAAGCCAATAAATAAGTGGATTAGCTAATGAATTCATATAACATAATGATGATGTAACTCTTATAAGAAATGAATGTTGAATTAAATTGAGCGCATGCATTATCATTAGAATAAAATAAGGCGACCAACAAGCAGTAAAAGCTAGAAAAAAATAAATCATCAATATTTTTTTGTTGTTTTCTTTTTCATTGTTATATTGTTTAGGTTGGCAATAGACCAGACAATCGACTTATAATAATGTTACTAATAGCATTATCATAAATTTTGACAAAATATTTTCTTTTATTTACTGATTTTGGCTTCGAAGTTGAATATTCATCTTGTAATTTAATATTTTTTCAAGAATTTTCTTTATATTTGTAATAAACATACTCGGCATATGTATATGTCAGATAATGATAAAAATAGTCTAATAATAATTAAGTTATAGTTGACTTTTAATCATAATTAGAGTCTATCGAATATATAAATTCGATTAACAAAGACATATTCTTTTCAGAAAGTCTACAAATTACATAAATTATTTAAGAATGTCATAGATCAGATATGATGCTATTCTGTATAATTATCAAATACTTTGATAAAGATACAATTCGTCTAGTCATAATTTACTAATTTGAATATTAACTTCAGTCTCAATACTATTAACATTCTTCGTCGGACTAGAATCTAGATAATTGAAAGATTCTTAGAGAAACTTGTTAATGTTTACTAATTATTAATATAAATACGAGAAGAACAAAAAAAAACTTTCAAGTAACTCTAAAATTCTATTAAGATTCGGATCCAATCTTAATACAGTCTACTTGAAAATCAGATTTGTTTATCAATCAATGTGTTAAGACAAATAAATGATGAAGGTCATACTAGTCTGTTTAGTATGACGTTATATGCCTAAACACATTTAGTTCTTCATCAATCAAGACAATGTCGGCGATATCCTGTCATCAATCTGTTGTTAAACTTACCAATAACAATGACTAAGGTCATTTTAATTGTTTTAATTTTAGCTCGCGGTATAACACCAAGTGATCGTACATCTCGAATACTTGATTCAATTTGATGATCATCTAGAATTATTTCCATTCGAAAATAACTAACAAAGAAAAAAAACTAAATAAATTTTACCGTTTGAAGTTGATTTTTTTGATGAAAGAAGTCGACGTATTCGAGATTTTTCATTTCGTTTATTAGATAAACCATCTTCAATTTTAACAGAACTTTTTTGCCATATTATTACAATAATAATCACATATGATGCTGTCATAACAATCAATGGAGCAAGATAAAGAGAAATAAAAAGAAAATAGACATATGCCTAAATAAAATTCAATAGAAAAAAAAATTCAATCAATCTATTTATATATATTTTTGTAATCATACATTCCAATTTTGAACATCCGATCGATTACCACATATTGGTATATCTCGTATTGTATCGATATCTCGTAAATATAATTGAGCGGAAGCAAATGTCATTGAAATAAACCATGATGCTTATTAATCAAACAAAAAACAAATTAAAAATCTAAGAATGCTTCTTTTTCTTCTTACCACTTATCAATGAATATCGAAATGCTAGAAGAAGAACATTTTCGAAATATATTCTAAAATTTCTTAGATAATCTACCTGAAGATGCTGTTCGAACATCCATAGGTCGAATAATTGCATTGAGACGATCAATCGCTACACAAACAAGTACATAACTAAACTCAAAATATCTTTATATATTATTATTATTCGATATTAAATTTCTACCTTGAATTATAAGCAATTGTTCCCTAAAGAAAAATATTTGAATAATTAAATATACAAAAAAGAAAGAAAGAAAATATTTTTATTATTATCTTATTGATTAAATCAATTAGTTATATAATTGAAATGAAAAATACGAACTTGTATAAAACTGATCAATCGACATCCGATCGAACCGAGTCTGAATGGTATACAACTTTTTTCAATTATATCACGAGTGACAATAATAATACCAACAAATAAATCTAAATAGAAAATAAAATTTGTCTTTCGTTACCGAAAAATCTATGAATATTCAAATAAATTATTTTCTTTTGTTTTTAACATCGGTTTAGATTTTTTTTCTTTCTAATATAAAATGCAAAACATTCGTTTGTCAATAAGTATATTAACAATTCACTCATCTGAATAATTGTTAAAATAGAATTAGCGTTGATGCACTATAACTAATAATTCTAAGAAAAGAAAACATTTTGTTTGTTATACCCCATTTTCCTCTAATTCTATATTCGATAGAGATTTACACGTAATATACCATCTTAGTATACATTCATGATTGAATAAGTCAAGTGCTACTAGTCGACAAATATCGTTCGGATGCGCGCACATACGGACGAACGATTTCCGGCAACAATAACAATAATAATAACAACAACACCAACAAAAACAACAACAAAACTTACCAGCATAAGCAAGGTTTAATAAAAAAAAGCTCATTCGACTATGGCGATTTTTTGAACAACTTAATTGAAGAATAACAGAAATATTTGCCGAAACAATTAATACAAATATAATACATAAAAAAACTATAAGCTAAAATTAAAAAAGAGAAAAAATGTATCACAAGGGACTAATAAATATAAACAGATGTTCTTATCTAAACATACGTACATGAAAATTTTTACAAAGATTATCTAATGATAATTCATTTATTAATGTTGAGTCATTTACTAATGTTGATTCATTGGTTAATAATAATGTTGTGGTTTCATTGAAACTTTTATAACTAGTCATTGTTATGATAGTACTAATAAAAACATTGTTGTCGAAAGAATTCTATGCGTGATACTCGTTAATTGACAACTAACAATAGAAATAATCTATCTAGAAAAAGCAAAAAAGAAATGGAACATCATAAATAAAGACAAAGAATTCCAAGAATCAAGAATTGTGCGTGTATATTTACTTATCTATAAATTATTTTCAATCAAGATAAGTGATGTTTATTTTCTTCGCATTTTTAATATTCATTACAATTGTTCTTGTCTAGTCTATTAATTGAAGGTGACACAAGCAGATATTTATTCTAGTAAGTGGAATAAGAAAATGAAAGATATATATAACTACAGTCTTAACACTAGTAGAATGATGATGGCGGTGGTGTCGTTTGCTGATTGTCTATAATCGTTCTACTGACTGCTTGATGTATAGATAAGAATAATACTCTTGTTTCTCTCCTTGTAGATAGATGGATAAACTTGTTTTTTTTTGTCTCATCTATACTAAATGTCAGAATACAAAAACAGAATGATATGACACACCGTAATCTATATAACTGACAGTAACAACTCAGGGATTCTTGCTTGTGAAAGATGATGTTAAACGAGACACAATCATCTCTTCCTCTCCCTCTCTCTCTCTCTCTCTATATGTTACTGTATTATTCATAGATTAATCGTTGTGGTATTAGCAAAAGCTCTCTCGCTTCTATATTTTTTTTCTCAACTGTTTTCTGCTAATCGTTTTTCTTTTTGCTCGTTCTTTCAATGCATCAAAATCTCTATCTTTTTCAATTTTTGATCATAAGCTCATGTCAACAACGAAACATAAAATACTAACAATAATGTCAATTTCCTATACGACTATGGAACTGAAATACGTTCTATATTACATTGTTTGTATATGATTTTCTGCTTGTATTGCGTCTATCTATCGAAATACAATAACGATAAACAATAAAAGCTTATATATATTCTTCTTTGGAAGAAAGAAAGAAAGAAAGTATCACAGTTGATTATTTCTTCATTCACTATTAATGTCAAAAAACTACAGAGTGGAACGATTCATTTGTAAAGAGATAAGATGATGTATAACGAGATAGATAAAAAATCTTTTCTATAAATCAAAAGAAAAAAAGGAGAAGAAAAAGAAGACGAAGAAGAGAATCTTCTATTTTACAACTAAACAATAATAAATGTTAATCATGCATATGCTATTAACTTTGTTGATGAAAACCAGATAAGACTTGTCCGGAATGAAATATAAAGTACTTGAGTTAGAAAAATAAGAAGAAATAACAGTTTTATTGAATTATTATATTGAATTTAGAAAGTATTAAAATTCAGACGAGGAGGTTAAGTGATTTTGTGTTCTCATACTGATTCCAGATGCTTTTAGATAAGTAAAGATGAATTATTATCATACAAATAGATATTAATCATGGACGACAATCAATTTCATCTTAAGAGACCTATTTGATTCACTATTTATCAGTATAAACATCCCGAACTGTTTCTATAAAATATTCCATATTTTATATTCTGTTGAATAATCAAATTATTTCTCGTTTGATTTAAATAAAAAATTTCGATAGCATAAAAGCTCATACTAACAAAGCAATTCGCGTTTCTTTAAGACTAATACATTTCTACAACGAGTGAGATTTTATTTTATTGATAATATATCAATTATTAGCTCAGAAATGATTACCATTATAGAAATCTTTTTTTTGTTAACTGTACCATATAAGGCGTAATGGGATGAAATATTTCTTTTTTGTTTTTTTCATCGATGATATATCAAAATAGAAAAAACAGTTGTATTTTTGACTTATGATCGATTTGTCAACGGAAAATATTAACTAATGAGAAATGTGTCACAAGGCTTGTTTGTTGAAAATAACAACAACGATCAATTCATCTCAAGAGTATAATATGATGAGTTTAAATAGAAATGAAAAATCTATTATTGATAGTCTATCATTTGTAACAATTAGAACAGTTTTTCCCGAATATCAAAAAACAACAAATTAGAAGATTTAACGTCCTAAAAGAATTTATAAAGAAAATAAAAATAATGTGTATGTTTACCCATAAGTAATATCCATAAAAATATTTCTTTCTTGATTTATAGGTTATACATCCTATGACCCATTAACAATTGACACATGTAATTATAAATCATAGCAAAGTATAGACACATGTACACAAGAGTTAACATTCGTAATAAGTAACCAAATTGATGATGGCACATCCTTTTTAGATTTTAGTAAATCATGTATGACTTTTTAATTATAAACTATTTACATTTGAATTATATTGTATAGTAACTATTACTAAAGATTGACAACCAAGATCAACAAATAGTAAATATAAATAGATTTATTTATAAATCTATTTCGTGTTAGTTTTATTGTTATGTCAAGCGTAAAAAAACTAGTATAAATTAATAAACTTATTTGTCAGGTAATAAATCTTACTAGTTCATTAAACGATGATATTACCCATTGTCAACGAAAAAAATACGATACTGAATAAGCAACTTTGAAGGTGTAGATTATCGTAAGTTGAAGCGTATGTGTGTTAGAAAAAAAGAGAAACATTCACATCCGGGCCAACGTACACTTACTTCCGCACTTAACATGTATAGATCTACCCACGTCTATAACCACAGAACTACCCACACATCCTCAAGGAAACAATAATAAAATTAAGATAGAGAAAAAGAAAATATTCGATAAGAACTATATTTTTGAATAAACTCGAAAGAATTTATTAGATTACATGTAATATGAATCTAACAAATTCATTGAGATTAATCGTTCGATGAATACTAAGAAAGAAAATTATTCTGTTAAGGTAATTAATTATGAATGTATTGCTTCAACAGATTGTGTTCACTGTCAATTTGTGTATTGATACACTGCTTCATACAAATTTCATCGATCTATTTTTGTTTGTGGAGGCAGATGTACGTTGTTTCTCATGAATAGTATAGGTCACATATTGATACAGTTCGTGTCATCATGCTTAACTTCGAGCTGATAATGTTGTAATCAATGATATATACATAAAATCCGTGTTTTACTAGAACTACACATTCTTAATCGTAGTAAATTTCTACTGATAAATCAAAGTTATCCTGTATAGATATTTGTCTGTATTATTCTAATAATGAATCTTCACTACTAACACTTGTAGTTTGAATAAGATCATGATCAATCACATTTGATGAATTAATTTTAGTAAAGAATTCACGAGAAGAATTATTTGTTGGACAAGGTATAACAAGCATTGGTGGTCGAATATCACGTGAAATATATTTATCTAATTTATTTTTCATCTCATTGTTATAAGCATTTAATTTATCTTGTACATTTCTTAAATGTTGTTTAATACCAAACGAGTTTTTATCAAGTATTTTCTGAATATTTATCGAAATACAACATAACTAAACAAATAAATCAAAGAAAAATAAATCGATAGGATATTTTTTACTTGTTTTTGTATATTTTGTAAGATAGGTAATAGACGAAATGTTTTATTAAGAAAATAAATATCATTATATAGTTCAAATGAATCAAGTATTACTTGTATATATCGTATCATCGAACTTATATTTTTATTTACTATTTCATTCTGTAATTGATCTAATTCGATTTTCAAATTATTATCCAATGTAAAGATTTGTTTTTGATTATTAATATCATCATCAATGCCTTTCGAAATATTACTTCGTCTTTTTTGTGCAAGAATTTTTATTTGTCGTTGCAAATGATATCTTAATGTATCCGCTCGTTGAGAAATATTATTGAATGTAGCTGGTAAAAAAAAATCTTCGTCATTTAATTTTACTGTTAATATATTCGAAGAATTCTCATTGATTATCTTCAATATTTTTACATAGTCAGCTATAAATATATGAATATCATTGAAAATATTCTGAATAAAATAATTGTCATACATTATTTCATGAATAATAATATTACTATAGAGACAATAAATGAATAATATCTACTAAATAACTTTTATTGATCACATCTGTGACAATATATCTCATTATTATCATATGTTACACAATAATTCATTGTATATAAACGTTTTTTGTCAAATATTTTTTCAGACTAGTTTTTCAGCCATGCATCTTAAATTCATTCTACTTATTACTTTCCTCATAACATGCATAACAACTTTGAATGCTCTCAATACGACAATAACAGCGCCGATAGTAGCAGCAGCGGCAGCAAAACCCATTTCTCCAATTGTTGCCTGTACAAAACAATCTCAATGTGCAAAAACACATTTTTGCAAAATTAAACAACAAGTTTGTGTACTCAAATATCCATTACACCATTCATGCGAAAAAAATAAACAATGTGCAAGCGATAAATGTCATAAGAATATATGTCGTCAAGGATGTAAGGAAAACAAGCACTGCTCAATAACCAAAGAATATTGTACAATAAGCAATTATTGTGAATCAAAACATTGTGGTACATGTACTCGCAATGTTGAATGTGCCAATGGTTATTGCAAATTATTTCGTTGCGAAGAAAATGCTTGTAGTAATTCATTAAAGGCTATTAAATTGTTATAGTCATTTTATTCATTTATAAAGAAAATAAAAAAAGAAGTTTATTATATTGCTATTAACATAAAATAAAACTAAGCATTCCTGCTAAGCACAGAATAATAAATAATTTAATAAAATTCGGTTGCTCGAGATTTATTGAATCAAGATTTTGATCATTAATTTGTTTTGTTAAATAAGCATCACTAATAGATATATCTTTCGTGAATGCATTATACATTTTATCACAATAGGATGGACATACATTTAAATATTTAGGGTGATAAAATTCATCTAGTAATGGGTAATGTGTATAACATTTTAATAAATTAAGAAAATATGTACAATTGTCAAATGGATCGGTCAATGGACGTAGCTAAACAAAAAGACTTTATTTTGAATTTATATATTTCTTTTTTCTTACCTTAGCAAAAATAGCACATATCTCATTTTTATAACAATGGCTATTATCTTCAAACCATGTATAATTTGTCAATGGCAGCTGTGAATTAGATGTTTGATTTGAGAAAAATACCCAATAATCTGTGATATTAGAAGACACTGGAAGAGAGATCTTAGTTGGTAGTGTAAAAGGCAACAGGAGAAAAAATATATACATTAAAAATAAATAACTCCTGTGCCATTGCAAGTATAAAACACAGAACATCAGACAAAGCCAATAATAGTATACATAATCTAAATCTAAATAAATATTATTAGACTACGAAAGTGTTTTACATATGACTTTGGATTTGAATTTAATGTTATGGTTAGTATTTTACATCGTCCTACTCTATAATAAGTCTTGTATTGCTTATAGAATTATTCTCTAACTTCTAGACATGCATATTTAGACCCTTTTTTTACCAAATGTCAACAAAAATTTGATAATACAAGTTTACTATATTTGTGTTTGCATTAATATACATATGAAACATTTACAAATAATCAATAAACGAAGTATCGTATCTAAAATGCCGACAGAAATTTCACTTTTTTATGTTTTCTCGTGTATACAGATCAATAAAATAGACCAAAATAAACAAATGTCTAAATTTTTAGCAAAATGTTTTCCTTTCTCTGTACAGATGCACATTCCCAAAAAACGACACAAGAGCAATAACAAAACGAGTAAAAAAGACGAAGAAGAAGAAGAAGAAGAAGACTAAGAAGAAAGTGAGCGACAGAAAGCGACTATCATTGCACCGGAGCTTGAACTGGCTGTTGTTGTTGTTGCTGCTGCTGTTGTCGTATTATTAAAGCGGCTCGCTGTCGACGCATTGTATATAAAGCACCGATAAGACCAAGTAAGGCTGCCATTAAATATAAATCCCATAATGAATCATTGTCATCTGTTGCTAAATGATCTTCATTAGTAAAAGTAGCCGTTCTTGCTTTTGTAGTACCATGAGTATTTGTTGTTGTCGATGGCGATGGTGTTGTCGTCGTTGTTGATTCAGTTGACGATGATGAAAAAAATGTCGAATATAATTTCTCCCAGAATAATTCGAAATGAAGTTTCAACAATACAATACTGACAGGTAAATGAGCATCAGCACTTGTTTCTGCAGCCATATCATAGAAACGTTTTGCTAAATGTATATCCTAAAACACACAATTAATTTCAGAAGGTAATAAGTAAATATGAAAATTACCTTTTTTAATCCTAATCCTTTTTCATGCATATATGCTAAATTAAACATTGCTTGTGGATTTTGACTTTGATCACTTGCATATTTATAATGAGTTGCTGCTGTTTCATAATTTTGTTCAGTACCAAAACCACTAGAATACAAAAAAATTCATATTAAAACATTTTTTTCGTTGATTATTCTTACTAATAAAAATAATCTCCTAATTTAACACGTGCTGTATGAAAACCTTGATTTGCTGCTCGATTCCAATAAGTTAAAGCTTTTTTATATCGTTCTCCACTCGTATGATAAATATTTAATAATTCAGCAGGCATTTGATCAAGTAAATAAGCGACATTCGACTGGGCAATTTCATAACCAAGTTCAGCTAAATATAAATATTTCATAAACGCTTGTTCAATATGTCCTTGTCTATAAAGATTATAGGCTTCAATAAACATGCTCGACCATTTTCCACGTTCAGCAACATTTTTAAAAAGTTCTGTTGCTGTTGTACATGATCGTAAGACACCTGTGCCTGTTGCATGCATTTGTCCAAGATTAAAATAGCCAAGTGCATGACCTGATTGTGATGCTGCTTGAAACCATTTAACAGCCATTTTATAATCACGTTTAACACCTTCTCCATTGTAATACATAATGCCAAGCATTAATTGTCCTTCAACATAACCTTGATCAGCTGATAATTGAAAATATTTAAATGCTTTTTCATAGTTTTGCTCAATACCAGCACCATGATAAAAAGCTGAACCAATACCAGCTTGTCCCATTGGATTACCTTTTTCAGCTGAACGTTGAAAGAATTGTAAGGCAGTTAAATTATTTTGTTTAATATAATCATTTTTTTCTGAATAGAGTTTTCCTAAATATGCCATAGCATTTGAATTACCATTATCAGCAGCTAAACGGAAATAATACAGTGCTTTATCAAATGCTGTATCACGTAAATAATATAATTGACCAAGACCGTACTAAAACAAATAAAATTGAGAATTTTATTGTTTTTAGTTGTTTTTTATTATTTACTTGAGCTTGTGCATCACCTCGATCAGCTAATAATTGATAATATTGTACAAGATCTTCATCGATCATTATATTATTTTGTGTTGGATGTTCTTCTTCATCATGTAACCGAATACGTTGAATTAATTGACCACTTGTTGAAGTTATTTTCGATGAGACTTAATATAGAATTTATATAAAGAAATTGAATAATAACTAGAAAACAAAATATTATACCATGTGTAGCAACTTGCTTATAAAACATCAAAGCTGATTCACAACTATGAGCAATAGAAATTGTACGCCAATATCGATAACCCTAGAGAAAAAAAATTTCCTTTGCAAATGTTTTGAGTTTTAGTATATTATACTTACAAGTGCCATTTGAGCTGGATAGTAGCCATCAATAGCAGCGAACGTTAAATGAACTAAAGCCTAAATAATAATTTATGATATTCATATCAGTTTTACAGCATTAATACGAAGTCAAGAGAAGAGATTTTTATATTATCTAGACAACTAATTTTAACAGAAGTTAACCTTTTACACTATTAGATATTATACCCACTCTAGGGTGCGACTTCGGGATTGAGTATTTTCAAAATAGAAACTTCAGCTTAATTCTTGGGTTCTTCTGAAGATGTACAATGAATAGAAAATAAAATTCGCTGTCAGGCTATTGTATTTTCGGATCTCACTCAATATGTATTGCAAGACAAATACCAACGGGATTTAAAAACCCGTTAAAACTCCGTAGGTATTTCTTCTTCATATATCTTGAATGAGATCTGAAAGTACAATAAACTGATAGAGAATTGTATTCTCCATTCATCATACATCGTCAAAAGAACCCCAGAATTAAGCTGAAGTCTCTCTTTTGAAAATACTCAATCCCGAAGCCGCACCCTAACTTATTCCTACTGCTCACAATAGTCACAGTGAATTTATCATAGGAATGTCTGTAGATATTTGAATAATCTTAGTTATGAGAAATTTACTTACTTTTGGAATGCTTGCATCGGGAATAAGACCAGCACTATTCAAAAAATAAAGTCCCTAAAAAAGTACCATATTTAATAAAAAGAAGTTTTCAGAAAAAGAATATAAACATACAAAATGTGATTGTGCTGAACCTGTTTGAACACCTTCTTCATAATATTTTTTTGCTTGATTAAAATTCATTGGTAAATGTAAACCAATCATATGTGCAAAAGCTAATTCTTCTTTAGCTCCAATATGACCTAAATCAGCTGCTTGTTTAAATAGTTTATAAGCACTAAAAATTGAAATTAACTTATTTCATCAAAAATATATAATCATTTTTACGTGTCATATTGTCGATTATTTGTACCATTAATTAATTTCATAGCTTGATTATAAATTGTATTAGCTTGTTCCATTTCAGGTGTTAATGGAATAATTTCTTCCACTTCCTCTTCTTCTTCTACTTCTTGTTCTTGTTCATTCTCTGTCTGTTCAATATTTTCATTAGAATTACTATCTACTATCGATTGTGTATCGAGAAAAGTTTTATCTGTTCCAGATGATGATTTACTAAATAATTGTGGTTGCGTTTTTTTTAATGTTTGATATAATTGTTGTATCATATTAGTTAATTTTGGTGATGGTTGTTCATGATTATGTTTTTGTTGATATTTATCATGTAAACTAACACCTATTTGTTTTAATATACGTTGTAGATTAACATCATCATCTACATCTTCATTATCATCACCACTATTAACTTCACCTTCTTCATTTCCTTGATTAACTTCAGTATTTTTTTGTTGCTCTTGAAGACGATATTCAATAATTAAATCTTGTAAAGATTTATTTAATTCATCATTATCATCATCTGTATCTTTGTTGGGTTTTATTTCAGGAGGTTTATCTTCAATTGTTTCTTTATTATTATGTTCATTTGAAACTGGAATATCATCAGCATGTAAATGAATTTGTGCTTCAGGTGCAACAGATTCTGCCTAAAAAAATTCAATAATAATCATATATAAAAATCTATTCAAATGAAATGTTTACTGATATGGGTTCTATATTATCATTATCATCGGATTGTTTAGGTTTGCCATTTGTGGTTGCTATGAAAAAGATTAAGATTAAAAACTTTTGTAATATAAGAAAATCTATTAATCCTACTTAATGAGATATGACTAAATAAATTGCATAAAATGATAATAGTAAAAATAATACGTTTACTACTATAACAATGATACATCTAGAATTATCAGAGAAATTAAATAACAATCATCTATTCATTTTTATATGAAATCAATTAATTGTTCTATTCAACTATTGTCATGTTAATAAAATGTAGCAAATATCAAGTTTACTATAACTACTGAGTAATGAGTAAGCATATATTTTAACCAATGATCATCGGCCAAGCCTCCGACCAATAAAAATCTATCTTATGTCAAATTTTGAATAAAAGAGGTCGTTAGAATTTTGTTTAATTTATAATAAAAAATATATATATTTAAAAATAAAACTCTGAACGTTAACTGATAAAAATATATGAACAACTTATAAACGATAAAAAATAGCCTAAACTGACAAGTTTAAAAAAAGTGATAAAAATTTATTTTATTCACAAAGGTAGTTGATAAGTATAAACTCGATAATCTTTTGATGCTAAATGAAGAATATTTGTATTTGTTTGAATCGTAACATCAAGAATTTGTGAATGACATATTCGTGCTGTATATGCACCTAAACGTTTTTTTTGTTGATTTTCATCATAAACTGTTATATTTAAACCTTGATGATTATCAATAATAATTAATTGTCCTTTCGAATTCAATTTAATATTTGTTGGAAATTGTATATAAATATCTTCTTTGATTTCACGTATTACTTGTCCTGTATAAGAAAAAACTTTTATTGAATGAAGATGATTATCTGATATGAATATTTCCGAATTATTTGAACATATTGATGTTGGAAATTGTAAATGTTGTTCAAATGAAAATACAGAAAGAATTTGTCCATAAAGTGAAAATATATGTAATTTCTGTATTTGTGATTCAATAACAAGTATACGATGTGATTTATCAACAGTTAATGCACGTGGTTTTTCTAAATGTTGACCAAATCGTCGTATAAATTCACCTTGACAACTAAATATATGAATTTGTGGACGTGGATGACGTTGAATAACAACTAATTGATCATTACCATCAGGTACAACAGCTAAACGATATGGATAAAGTAAATTTTGACAACCTAATGTTCGTCCACGACCAAACGAAAATTGAAATTGTCCACTTTCACTATCAAACATTTTTATACAATGTGCATTCGTATCGACAACAGCTATTTTTCCACAATCAAGCCATGCAACACTATTCGGTTCACGAAATGCATTATTTCCATCACCATATTCACCTATTGAACGCGTCCATTTTAATATTTGTCGAAGTGAACCATTTTTAAAACGTGTATCTGAACGATCTAAACAAAATCAAAATATTTTCATAATTTATGAAATTTATTATATTTACTAGGAGGTGTTCGATGATCAAGTTTTGGAATAAGTTGAACTGAATCATTTTTTACTGGTGACCACGCTAGAAGAAAAAAAAAAGATATTAATTAATATGAAAAATATTTTATTTCAATACTTACGATCAACTGGTTTAATATAGAAATGTTCTGGTGGTGAATATGGAACTACAAATAAAAAGAATTCATAAGTTAATACTCAAACTGAATACGATTAAATATCATAATACTAACTTGAATGAAGAAAATTTTTATCGATAATCACTGAACCAAGAGCAAGACGTGGTTGTTTTTTTGCAATACAAGTGTCATTACTAAAATATTATTATGAATATAAAATAAATTTATAAGAAAAAAAAATCGTTTACTTACATTTCAATGCCTAGCATAGATGGCCATACATTTTCCTTATCTGGGGAACCAAATGGACGTTTCCGAGAGATATTAAACGAATTCATTATCAAGTGTTTTTTTTTGTGTTTTTAAAAAAATAAATATAAGATTATTTGATTTAAAAGATGCGGTCAATTGAAATTAAAATAAAACTAGATACACACTTGACGAATCGATACGATTTGCATCGAATAATGACGAGAGAAAACATATGTTAACTGACTATATATATACATATGTGAAGAGAACAGAATGAGTGAATACTGTGTTTGATAAGTACACCATCTTTGTATCATAACAGCTGTAGAGCGAGAGAGAGATAGTGAATTACTAAAACAATGTAATGCCCTTGTTTGATCTACAAACAACACTAGTACGAATATGCCTATTGGTATGTATATATACGAAATTTTAACTGCCGGCCAATGTTTCGACAATGTCGAATAGCTTTTATTTACAAAGAAAGATCTTGTCTTATATGATGACGGACGAAATTCTCGGACGTTTATGTTTTAACTTCCATTTTCTTAGGGGAAATTGTTCTTAGAAAATTAATTTTTTCGTCGGATGTGTAACCCGACCGGTAGGAATAGTTCACTGAGTTTATTTAATGAAATAAAGTTATCTCCAACTATACACCATCTTTATTAAACAAATTCTTATATATATTTATAAATAATTTCGCTATTGTATTATGAAATTAAATCAATAGAATTTATTTAATACGATTTAACTTCTTGAATAAACTTACTTTCTTTAGATATTTAGATTATTAATTATCAACGAACATTAAATTTAATACTGTTTTTTTAATACAATCTTCGATATACTACCGTAGATGGATACATCAAATGTAACTATGAAATTTTTATGAATAAGATTTAATATAATCAAACAAAGCGTAATGATTTCGGTTAAATTTATGTTTTTTAATATCCAAAAAAAAAAAGAAGACCACAGTCATTTACACGAATAGAGCGAGCAAGATTGAAAAATGAGGGATGAAAAAAAAAGTGTGAGTGTCAATAATAATAATCTACTGTTGTCTTTTTTTCTTTTTCTAAATTTCAATGGGCATATCGCCAAGTTCTTCATCACTTGGTAAAAATGGTGCAACTTTAGCCGGATCGACATACCATGGACTAACACCTGCTTGACCAAGACTTTCACGGGCAGCTAAACGAAGATATGCTTCACGTTGACACCAATGAGTTAATCTAAAATTCAAATTCATTTTTTTGTTTAAATATTTAAAAATAAGAACTTACAATCGATCGGGAAAGTATCTCCATGTAAACCAAAATAGAAAAAGTCCAACAGAAACAAGTGAAAACATTCGTTGTTTCATTTTTGCTTCATCTCGAAATTTATCACCATAATCATAACCATACCATATATGCTAAAATTATAAATAAATTAAATCGTCGAAGGAAATATGAATAATCTTACATTGACTTGTTTTCTTTCCCACTGAGGTTTCGTATATTCTCCTTCTTGTAATTCACGTTCTGTTGGCCATAAGGTTTCAATTTCGTTTCCTTTAACTACATCCGGTGCACCAATACGTTTTTCATCGCGTTTAATGGGTGTTGATTTTGGTTCTTTATCAAGTGGTTTTGCAGTACCCCAATCTATAAATTAAAATTAAATTAAAAGAAAACATAAAATTTATTTCACGAACCATCCGGTACACCTTGTGGTGTTTCCGAACGTGAACGACCAGCAATCATATTACGCACGGATGGATGTATTAGAAGACCTCGCCATCGTGCTAATAACTGATAGCCCGCTTTGCCGGGTACAATCATCTTAAATAAATTATTAAATTTAATAAATATTTCCAATCACCTTCTATCAAGTTAGTTTTTTTTATTAAAATCAACAAAAAAACAAAATAACGATTAAAAATTACTATCATATTTAAGCAGCAGGAGTATCGATTTTATTATTAATAATGAATTCTTTCGGTGCACGTTGTTGCCATTCGGTAAATGAACCCTAAAATATAAAAATAATAAATAGAATTTGTTTCAAAATTATACTGCTGAATATGACTTAAGTCTTAGCGTCAAACAGTCCTTAGATTTTGATAAAAAATTAAATTTTTTTAGCCATGTTTAATTTTGCACAAGATTTATTTTCTCAAACATCATTAATATGAATGATGAGATAATAAATGTGCATTTAATTCTCAGGAAATAGAAGAAGACAAATCTTACATTATAAACTGATAAAGATTCTTGACCAAGAATATGTGCAGCAAAAGCCAATGTACTTGCTGTCGTCCCTGTTTGACAACTGTAAATTGCTGGTTTTGATAGATCAACACCTGCACTGTTAAAAACTAAAAGAAAAAAGAATGAAGAATTTGGGTTTTTTGTTGTATACTTTGTTTAAGTTCATCTTTTGATTTTAAGCATTGATTTGTTTGATCAAATACGTCTGTATATGGAACATTTACTGAATTAGGTAAATGCCCGGCATTTGAACCTAGAGAAAAAAACATAATTTTAATATTTAAATAAATAAATTCTTACCATAAAATAGATTTGGTGGTCGTGCATCAACAATTTGCTGTTCTTTATCATTTGTCGAAACAATATGTAACATATCTTTATAATTTTTTAACATTTCTTCATTTTTATGAACAGTAAATTTCCCTGTCTAAATAGTACGAAATAAAAATTGGGTTTTTCTTTTTATTTGTTCATTTTCTACTTCTTCTTGTGATATAGGAGTACTATCATCGAATGATTCTAATTCATTGATTTCTTTTAGCCATTTATAGAAACCACCATTAAGAATTGATAGACTATCAACTCCAAGAGTCTAAAAACAATTATATAAATACGAACGAAAATAAAATACACCTACTTTAAATAACCACCAAGCTCGACTCGTCGCATAAAAACCTATTGGTGAACGATCATAAAGAACGATATGATCACTATTTGATACACCCATCTTTGAAAGATAAGATTCGAAACATTTTGTTTCCGGTAAACCACGTGGAATCAATTTTGATGGTTTTGTACATTCAAGTTGATCAAAATAACGAGCTTTTGGAATATGACCACTAAATAAATAACATACCTATAATTGTACATCACTTACAATTGAAATGTAAAGTATAAATTAATTGTTCTGAAACTTACTGTCGAAATTCGTTTTCGAATTGTTTTCCAATATCAGCTTCTAGAACGGAAATTTTTTGTGATGATGATCGTAAAAGATCTTTCAATGCATGACATGAAAGTAATGCTGGAATAGTTTTCGTTGCTTTCATCTATAAAAATTAAAGCATTGAATATATAGTTTTTAAAACAAATTTAAACAAAAACCACTCAGAGAGAAGATTAATATAATAATCATGAAATGATTCAACATGTGAGATAACATAAGCTAACTATGTTATTCCTCGACATGTTTTATCGATCAAATATATAAAAGAAATTTCGTCATTGTGGTTTTTTGTTTTTTCTTATAATCAAAAAAATGGAAAACAAATAGATTTTGTTTTTTTTTATAAGACATTTATATATTTTAATTTTTATCTTAGAATCAAGATTTTTCTTTGTTTTTAACAACGAGCAGCACACGGACATTAGTTTTCAGAGAGAGAAAAAAAGTAGCAACAGCAGTCAAATAAACACAGCACAAGTACAAAGCAATTCTAAAAGCATACGCACACATACACATAGATGTTCTTTTAAAAAAGAAAATTTAGGCGAATTCATGAACGGAGTTAATTATTTCAAAGACAAAAAAAGGACAGAAAAAAGTCACCGGATATATCTATATGTGTGTGTGTGTGAGTATAACAAGAATATTTTTGGCTACTTAGTCTCTCATATTCTTTTGTAAAAAGAATTGAGAGAAATTTTTAAAAAGAAAAAGAATATTGTTTATAGAATAACAGTTATTAATATATAAACTGCTTTTTCGTTCTGTACAATGATATATGAGAGACAAAGAAAGGTTTATAATCGTTGAGAAACTGTCGAATGATGAGAATTACTGTTAATTAATGTTGTTGAACTCGTTGTTCGATCATCAGTCTAGAATAAAAATAAAAAAGATATGATTTGTTAACATCCCCTTTCAAAAAAAAATCGATCTCGGTTCAGATATATTCAAATTCACTGAAATGTTCATAACATATCAGGATTATAGTCTGAGCGATATATTCTACGAACAAGAGCCAACTATAGCTCACAAAAAGTAACAGACGATTGCTTCTTTACACTAAAATCTCCTTAATGTGAACACCATCGGGACTGGAAAAAAGTGTTCATCATAGAGTTAATACATAACATAGCCTGAAATGGAAGAAATCTTAGAATATTTACTTGTGCCTTAATAGTAGAGAAACAGTCGAGTATCTATTCTAATGTTGTTTGTCTTGTTGCTTTCGAATCAAAATATAGATCTATTAATTTAGATTCTAGTAATTATTCTGCCTTTCGCTTCACGATGTTAAATACAGAAGCAAGTGAAATATGATACTTTTCTGATAAAGATTGTTGAGATAAACTATTATTATGATCAAAAATTAATTCTATTTTCTTGATACTATATGTTGTTCGAGCGCACTGCACTCGAACCGTGTATAAAATGCACCTACTTCCAGTGCAAACAAAATATATGACAGAAAGTAGAAAGAGGTGAAAAAAACACTGCATATATGTTCACATTGAAGAGGTGACAATACCAGACGAGACCGGAAAAAAGATGTTCATATTGGAGAGATGGATTTCTAGCAAAAGCCGCTCCGTCAGACCTGAGACCGTTCACAAAACGGAGGTGTTCACAAAGAAAGATTTTACTGTATTTGAGAAAAACTTATCAAAATGATTCTTCTCTTAGACTTTAATACGTATGCTGAATTTTCATCCGTTAAGATTTATTTCTCTAAAAAAGAAACGAAGTTCATTACTCTAATTTTTATCTTGAAATTTACTTAAACTAAGTACATTTTTACAGAAGTATGTCTTCACCTACTTACAAATTTTTTAATTATATCATGATTTCCTATTAAAAATTTAAAGATAGCTGAATATAACAATTTTTTAGTGTAAACATCTCTTGGATAGTTTTCATTAGTGCTTATCTAATCACTTCTATATTACAGTCATAAGATTCTACATACAGTATTAATATTTAGAAGTTTTTGTGGTTTTTCCCAAATAGCAATAATTCCATCTTGTGAAGATGTAAGTAAATAATTTTCACCAAAATAAATTCCATTTAAACGTTCATGTGCTATAAATTCCGTAATAATTGGTTCAATAACTTGTATATCATCTAATTTCGGACATAAATTTGTACCAAATGTACTTTTAGTTAAATCAAAATTTGTTCGACGTGATGAAAAATTATTATTATTATTAGTTGTTAATATTGATAATGATGTTTGATTTGTATCATCAGAATTTGTTGTTAATTTCGATGATGAAGATTTTGTTCCACTCAATGTACTTGATAATAAAGATAATTTTCGAGATTTTTTTGATATACCATTCGAAAGTGTTACTAATGATAAATCCGGTATATCATCCGTTGATTTATTTACTTTATTGGAATTACGTACAAATGAAAGACGTGATGTTATAGATGAAAATGAACTTTTTGTTGTTGATGGTTGAGTATTTGTTGTTATATCCGATGATGACAATAATGAACAACCATTTGTTGTTGACGCTGATGATACTAATGGATATGTTGAAGAATTTTGTTTACTATTTGAATTTATTTTAAGTACATCTTCTGTTATATCCCATAAACATAAACGATTATCTTGTCCAACTGAACCAATACGATAAAATAATGATGGAATAGTTGTATCAAAATAGGATGAATCACTACGTGTCCATGGAATTGTTTTTCGTATACCATCAATAGGATCATTATCATTATCTAATGATAATGATGATGATGTTTGAATAAATGATGAATAATATGTTTTAGCATTCATATATGGATCAAATGATATTGCACTTATCCATGATGTATGACCATGCCCACGACATATTACACGTGGAGTATGTTCTTCAGGATCAAGAGTAAATAATGTTATAAAATCATCTTCACCACCAGTTGCAATATATTTACCATCGGGAGACCAACATACCTATTTATATACACTTCGAGTTATATGTTCCTATTAAGAAAATACTTACACAAAGAAGTCCACCAAAATAACTTTTCATATAAGCAACTAATTCCATTTTTTCATAATTAAATATTCGTAAAAATCCATCTTGTGATACAATAGCAAGTAGAATATTATCAGGTGAAAAACTAAATTCATTTATACTTCCATTACCAATTGACCAACGTGATACTGGATTTCTTGTTTGTTTAGATTTATTCTACAAAAGCAAAAACATAATTTTATATTTATTTACATCACACCCATACTTTTGTATATGATATAGAAAAATTTTTTTCATCATCTTTTATTGTTGAATATGTTGGTTGAACATTTGTATCACGTTGATAATTAAGTTGTTCATCAAATACATATAAATAACCACTTGAATATGATGCAAGAAAATATGTTTTAGGATTTGATAACCATTTAATACATGTTACTTTTGCTTTATCCAAATAACTCTGCAATAGAAAAATAATTACATTGAAGAAACTTCTCTGTTTAGTTTTTACATACTCCTTCATTGAAAACTTTTTGTTCTTTTGTTTGCATGTTTATATATTGTATTTGACCTTTAGAAAATCCGACAAGAATATGTAAACCATTTGTATCTGGATTTTGTGTTATATCGTGACAAGTAGGTTGATGATTTTGCTTATAAACACGATGATCAAGTGGGTCACCGAAATTGGACTAGAAAGAATTAATTTCTCTTGCATATAAAACACTTTCGTATGATCAAGTTAAATGTACTCCGAATTTGGAGTTTACGGATATTTAAGTTTCCTGAAAACTGTAATCTTCTGTTTTTAATTGCTATGGACTGTGCTGAATCGACTGGTAATGCTCGAGAAAAGAAAAGCATACAGTTACAAGCTACAATTTGTCGAAAATCATGATTCTTTCCTCACGATAGAAATATCATAATACGAGAGTCCTTGTCACCTAGATCACGAATCTGACATTCGTTTGTCTAGATTTGATTCTGTTTTTTTTCAGCGATTTTTATGGGTGAGTATCTGAGTCTAGTAATGGGCAGTTCCATGATATGTCAAACACAAAGTATTCAGAAAATTTTCTTTTCCCCCCAAACTTTGTAGAGCTTCTTCGTTGATCATTTTCGTATAAGGATGTTTTGAATTCTATAGAGAAATGACAACGCTATCGTCAAAATAAAAAACATAATAAAGTAGCTTAAAATCCGATTATTTTCCTTATAAAATACAGGAAAAAGTCGAGTCTCTAATTTCGAACCGACTGTATGCTCAAGGAATATGACATAGTAAGTTTTGTAGGGCATAGTTTTCTCTACAAAACCTACTATGTCACATTTCTTGGGAATATAGTCGATTCGAGATTAAAGACTCGACTTTTTCCTGTATTTTATAAGAAAAAATGGGATTTAAACAATTTTACCATATTTTACTATGTTTTTTATTTTGACGATATCGTTGTCATTCCTCAATAGAATTCAAAACTTCCTTGTACGAAAATGATCAGCGAAAAAAACTACAAAGTTTGGGGGGAAAGAAAATTTTCTGAATACTTTGTGTGTTTGTGTTTGAAACCTCATGGAACTACCCCGTGAACTAGGTGACAAGGACTTTCGTATTATGACATTTCTAGCGTAAGAAAAAAGTCATGATTTTTCGATCACCCCCTTTAGAGCTCACCTAACTTGACCCTTTCGAATGTATAAAGGTTTAAATCTAATTTAATCAAATAGAGTCTCGAGGAACTTAGTAATTCGTCGAATTTACAGCTATAGATATGTCATAATTACCTGTGTGGCTTCAGCAAATTCATAAACAATTAATTCTCTTCCAACATTAAATGCTAAAATATCTGTAAGAAATATATTTCCATTTTGTTGATTTGTTTCATTTCCATTCGATATTGATGTTTGTTTTTGTTCAATTGAATGATCATTTTGATTATTTGTTGATGATGAGCGTCTTGAACTTGTTTGACTATTTGTTGTTTCGTAAATAGTTTGTATACGAGGTAATAATGTTATTTTAACTGGTTCATTAAGACATGTACTTGAGCCAATTTTACCGAGATTATCAATTAATGATGAGATTTTATATGTACCTTCACGTGAAGTAAATTCTGTTTTAATTTCATCACTACGTTGATTTGAATCTTTAGTAAAATTACTAACACGTGAAGTTATTGATGGAGCCACACAATGGTTAATATTTGATGGTTCTGTTCGAGCCATTTATTTCGTCGTTTAATCGACGTATTGAGAAAGAAAATCGTTTGAAAATAAATGAGAACTTCATTCGAAAGAATTTATTAGATTTAAATCAAACATTTGTATTTATTACTCCTTTTTTTTAGAAGAATATTTCCATTTAATCGCCATATTGTTTGCTTTTTTTCTGTTCTGTTTAGTAGAATTGGTTAAGAAAACAAACGAATGATTTAAAAATATCGAAAATTAATAAAAAGAATATTTCTCGAATTTTTCATTTCATTGAACTTTTTT